GTTTTTTTATTTTATTGTCAGTTTTTCAATTTTTTGATTTTTCAATTTCTCGATTTTTACTTTTTCAATTTTTCGCTATTTGGATGTCACTATTATTTTTCTTTTTCATAATTTTTCATTTTTTCAAATTTTCGATTTTTTTTTTAGTTTCTAGATCTATTTATTTTTAAACTTCTCAATTTTTCTCTTCTTCAATTTTCATTCGTCAATTTTTCAATTTTTCGATTTTCCAAAGCTTCGATTTTCCGCTACTTCGAGTTTTCGTTATTCGGATTTTACACTATTTCAATTTTTTATTTTTTTGATTTTTCAGTTTTTGAATTTTCAATTTCTGGATCATTCGATCTATCGATTTTACATTTTCGTAATTTTTTGATTTCCTATTTGACAGATTTTCAAATTTTTCGATTTCTCACATTTCAAATTTTTCGTTTCCTCAATTTTTCAATTTTTAAGTTTTCTATTTCTCGATTTTTAACAATTTTACTTTCTAAATTTTTTCAATATTTGATGTTAGAATTATTTTTCGATTTTAGAATATTTTACATTTTTCCCAGTTTTTAGTTTCTAGATTTAAACTTTTACAATTTTTTTCTTTCTCAATTTTCATTTTTTAATTTTTTCAATTTTCGAATTTCCAAAGTTTCGACTTTTTCAATTTTTTAATTTTCCGTTTCGGATCTTTCGATTTTTCGGTTTTATACTGACAATTTTTTGGTTCACTATTGATCCGATTTTTTTTTTATTTTCTGATTTTGAGTTTCTCGATTTTTCAAATTTTGAATTTTTCGTTTATTCAGTTTTTAGATTTGCAATTTTTCAGTTTTTCGATTGTTTATTTTCACAATTTTTAATTTTCCAATTTTTCGTTGTTTCAATTTTACAATAATTTTTTGATTTTACAATTATTCCTTTTTTTTTAATTTCTCGAATTTTTGGTTTCTAGATACATTATTTTTAAAATCTTTCAACTTTTTCAATTCTTCAATTCCACAGTTTTTATTTTCCGATTTTCCAGTGATTTGACTTTCCACTGTTTCGAATTTTCAATGTTCGGATTTTACACTTTCTCAAATTTTTGTCACTTTTGTTTTTTTAATTTTTTAATTTTTGAATTTTCAGTTTCTAGATTTTTCGATTTTTAAAATTTATACTCTAGCAATTTTTTGTTTTACCATTTATTCGATTTTTATCTTTTTTTCACTTTCGGATTTTGAGTTTTTCGATTTTTCGATTCTCAAATTCAATTCAGTTCATTCAATTGGCAATTTTTCAATTTTACAATTTTTTTGCTTTATTTTCTACATTATACTTTAATTTTTATTCGATTTTTCGAATTGAAAAAATTAAAAAATTTGTTCTTTTTGCTGCAAAATTGAAAAACCAATAATTAAATCGAAAAATGAAAAATTAAAAATGGCGAACTTGAAACCCCAAAATTTGAAAAATCCAAAAAGTGAAAACCGAAAAATTCCAAAATTAATAAAGCAAAAAATCGAAAAATCGAAAAATTGGACGATTCATTAGTTAAAAAACTCGAAATATTGCAAATCAAAAAATGTAAAGTCGAAAAATCTTCGATTGTTGGTTTTTTCAATTTTCGAATTTGTTGAATAACTGAAAAAATTCAAATCGCGAAAACGAAAAATTAAAAATAGAGAACTTGTAAAATAAAAAATCGCAAAATTGCAAAAACTGTAAAACTAAAAACCGAAAAATCGAAAAAGTAGAAAGTTGAAAAATTGAAAAATCAAAAATTGAAAAGTCAAAAAATTGAAAAATTTGCAGTCGTGAAATTGAAAAAATGGAATAATTGAAAAATTCCATAGTTGAAAAGTCGAAAAATCAGAACAATTAAAACTGAAAACTCGAAACATTGAAAATCAAAAACCAATTAACTGAAGAGGACTTTTCGATTATTCGCTTTTTCAATATTCCAATTTTTTAGCTTCCACATACTTTAATTTTTAGATATTTTGACTTCTCCATCTCTCAAATTTTATTTTTTTCATTTTTTGATTTTCGATGAACAATTTTTTTTTGTTGAATAACTGAAAAAATTCAAATCGCGACCGCGTAAAATTAAAAATGAAGAACTTGTAATATAGAAAATCCAAAAATTGCAAAAACTGTAAAACCAAAAACCGAAAAACAGAAAAATCAAAAAAGTGGAAAGTCAAAAAATTGAAAAATTAAAATTTGAAAAGTCAAAAAATTGAAAAATTGCAGTCGTAAATTTGAAAAAAAAACGGAAAAACTAAAAAATTTCATAGTTGAAACGTCGAAAAATCAGAACAATTAAAACTGAAAACCCGAAAATTGCACATAAGGAATTGTAAAATCGAAAATTAAAATTCCAAGAATTAAAATCAAAGTTGTAAAATTAAAACTCTAAAAATATTTAAAAATTAAAAACCAAAGACCCAAAAATTGCAAAATTGCAAAACTGAAAAATAGAACAATTGACAACTTGAAAATTCGAAAATCTGAAAACTGAAAACCAGAAATGAAGAACAAGAAGGACGAAAAAGGATGAGGACGAAAACAACAAAAAGGACGAAAAGGACGAAGTGGACGAAAAAGACGAAAAATTACGAAAGCGACAAAAAAGGACGAAAAAGACGAAAAGGACGAAAAAGACTATAAGAACGAAAAGGACGAAAAAGGATCAGGACAAAAAAGAAGAAGATGACGAAAAAGGATGAGGACGAAAAAGGATGAGGACGAAAAAGACGAAAAGGACCAAAAAGGAGGAAAAGGACGAAGAGGAAGAAAAGGACGAAAAAGAATGAGAACGAAAAGGAAGAAAAGGACGAAAAAGGATGAGAACAAAAACGACGAAAAAGGACGAAAAGGACGAGAAAGGACGAAGAGGACGAGAAGGATGAAAAAATACGAAAAGGATGGAAAAGGACGAAAAGGACGAAAAAGAATGAGGACGAAAACGGCTAAAAGGACGAAAAGGACGAAAAGGACGAAAGAGGACGAAAAGGAAGAAAAGAACGAAAAGGAAGAAAAGAACCAAGAAGGACGAAAAGCACGAAAAGGACCAAAAAGGACGAAAAGGACCAAAAAGGACGAAAAGGAAGAAAAGGACGAAAAAGGATGAGAACAAAAAGGACGAAAAAGGACGAAAAGGACGAGAAAGGACGAAAAAATTCGAGAAGACGAAAAGGGCGAAAAGTGATGCGAACGAAAACGGCGAAAGGACGAAAAAGATGAAAAAGGACTAAAAAGACGAAAAGGATAAAAAGGAAGAAAAGGACGAAAATGGATGAGGACGAAAAGGAAGAAGAGGACCTTAAAAGGATGAGGACGAAAAGGACGAAAAAGGACCAAAAAGAAGAAAAGGACGAAAAAGGATGAGGACGAAAAAGAAGAAGAGGACGAAAAAGGATGAAGGACGAAAAAGCTTGAGGACGAAAACGACAAAAGGATGAGGACGAAAAGGACGAAAAAGGACGAAAACGAAGAAAAGGACGAAAAAGGATGAGGACGAAAAAGGTTGAGGACGAAAACGATAAAAAGGACGAAAAGCACGACAAAGGGCGAAAAAGGACGAAAAAGACGAAGAATTGCAAAAAGGACGAAAAAGGACAAAAAGGACGAAAAAAGACGAAAAGGAAGAAAAAGGACGAAAAGGACTGAAAGGACGGAAAAGAACGAAAAGGAAGAAAAGGACAAAAAAGGACGAAAGGCGAAAAGGACGAAAAGGACGAGAACAACGACAAAGAACGGAAAGGACGAAAAAGGACGAAAAAATTCTAAAATCAAAAAATTAAACAAATTAAATGAAATAATTGAAAACGATTTTTTAGTTGTTCGTTTCTTCAATTTCCCGATTATTTAATTTTCAGCTATATTCCTTTTTTTTTCCTTTATTATTACTATTATTATTAAGTTGGCATATATTTGTATTTTGTTCCCATAAGGACGTTAAATGTCTGTGGGAAAATAAACTACCATTATTATTATTATTATTATATTCATTTTGAAATTTTTCAAAATTTCAGTTTGAATAAATTTGTTCTGGTTGAAAACTGAAAAATTTAACATCGAGAAAATAAAAAAATTCAAATGGAAAAATTGAAAAGCTCGCATGTTAAAAAATTAAAAATCCAAAAACTCGAAAAACTGAAAACTGAAAACCGGAAAAGTTAAAAATGAAATAATCGTAAACCGAAAAACTAAAAAATCGAAATGAAATACTCGAAAACGATTTTTCAATTGTTCGTTTCATTGTGCAATTTTACAAAATTTCAGTTTAAATAAATTTGAAAAATTAAAAATGAAAAAATCGAAAAATTGTAACCAAATATTGCAAAATTGGAAAGTTTACAAGTTGAAAATTCGAAAAATTAAAAAATCAAAAACTGAAAAACCAAAATTGTGGCATCGAAAAACAAAAATTGAATTTGAGCTAGTTTGAATTTGGCGCCGACGAACATCACTGTAATTGGTTGCCAAAATTGCGGAAATTACCACGTGCTGACATAAATCACCCAATTACGTAATTACAATATTAAAATATCATCAGAAAGAAACGTTAATGATCCACATCACCTGAAACAATTTATTATATGCTAATTTACCACAACCTGTGATATAAATATTTCCACAATGTATCCTCAACCAGTCACAACAGCCACCATGTTCATAAAACTACTTCTAGCAGTATTCGCCATGGCTTCACTCAGCCTCTGCGAGGTCAGTATTTTTTTTTTTTAAATCAACAAACCCCTAAATAATAATTATTTCAGAATCCCCAACCCGCCCTAATAAGCGCCCTACCAACCCCACCCCCCGACGACGACTCATTCCCCCTCTACTTGGACTTCCCCGAAGACACCCAAAACCTCGCCAACATGTACCTCAGCTGCAAATGGGTCGAAGACGTCGACTCCGACGCCACCTAACCAACTTTCAACCAACCAGTGTATGCAGTCGCACTTAGTGTCACCCAGTGTATTTCCAATCAATAAACAACCAGTTCCACCGCGCATGCGCACCAATTGACAGTTCATCCCACCCGACTCAGTCGATAACCCAATTATTCAAAAATTCAAACACCCAAATCAAAAAACCATCCAAAATCGTCGAAAATGGCAAACCCCATCAGCGACGAAATCCACACAAGCGTGAGAGACCTAATCCACCACATAACCACCTACGAGGTAACCTAACCCCACTTTTGGTCTGTCGTTATCGATTCAATTCCAGCCAGACACCGAGCGCTTCGCCACTCTCGAAAAAACTACTCTCTCGACTATAAAAAAGTCCGACACGATGTACTTTCTCAACACCAAAGATATCAAAAAGGCTGTGTGGAGCATGGGTGAGAAATTCATGTTTCACGGGTTTTTCAAGCACGCCGAGTATTTGAAGCAAACGCACGATAAATACATCGATAGGAACCTGTCGGAGTCGGACTTGACCCCCCGGTTGAACGTGGTTAAGTTTTTGTTGTGTTTGTCCACGAACCCGACGACGTGTTTTTGGAAGGACCCTGACAAGTTCGCGTTTATTGATGAGAGGGAGGAGCCCGAGGAGGTGGTGGACTGGGGGGCTTACTTGAGCGAGGGGATCGGGCGCTGGTCGCCCGTGCGGGACGACAGCTTCCAGGAGCAGTCAGAGTCGGACGAGGAAAGTCATTTTGGGAAGGTCAGCGTCGGTGATAAGGGGGCTGCCGCAAGGCCGGTGATCACGGAAGCGCGGGACGTGCAAGAGTACGATTTTCGGGCCGCGCGGACTGAGCTAGTCGAGTCTGTGCAAAATGGGTGGTATAATGGTGAGGTGATTTGCATGAAGCCCCCCAGTGACTGGTTTGACGCAAGCGTGGGGATTTTATGGGAGCAACACTTGCACAAACAAGTCAACAATTTAATAGAAATCGAGCCCGTGACGGTGATTTCTGAATATAAAGTGATTCGGGAGGTGCTGTGGCAGATGTGGGGGCCCCACAGCTCAACTGTCTTTGAATTATCCAATAAGCTAGTACCAAGGGCGAACGTCACGATTTCCAGCGTCTGTTCAGTGAGTTATTAATAAAAAAAATTAGTTAAGTCTCATTTTTGGTTGCAGATGACCTTTGAAGGTTTCTTAAGGGTGTTCATGCCCTACATTGAAATGTTGGACGATTTCCGGCAGTTCAATCAACAACTAAACGACAAAGTGTGTGAAACCTACAAAAGCTATGGTCACTCAGTTCAAAAAATTATGTCTTCAGTGTTCAAGGGGTTGATTGAGATTGAAAATGAAGTAAGGGAGCAAGGTATTTTTTAAAATTAATTTGACACGAAGTGACGTTTCTTTGCAGAAAATACCATGACGCTGCTAAACTTGGCTGACAAGTTTGAAAAAATATTCCAACCGGTACTAGTTTTAAAAAATATCCACCAGGAGGTAGTTTTGGACGACTTTCAAGGTCGCTCGAGGTTGGAGTGTGCTTTAACTTTACTAACCCGTCTCAGGACAAGTTTGCAGTTCTCTGTAAAAAAACTGGAGCAGGATATTAAATTGACCTTGTATTTGGAGTCACTTTTTTACTATTTTACAATGATCAACGCGTGGCTTGTCAAAAACGACTTATTTGACCACACTGAGGAATTTATTATACTTAAGTAAGAGTCATTTTGTGACTACACAATTTTAGTGCCATTTTTTCTAGTAACAATGCTAAAATTTCGGCAATTTGTGACGACTGTCGGATGAATTTCGCCCTCCAGGACCGCGTTTCGGATTTTTCGAAAGACGGCATAGTCGGAATAATTTCGGACCAAGTGCTCCAAATCGGTCGCAATATCCACCTGCTGCGCCTCCTGGGGAAGTTCGACGTCTTCTCCAAGGGCGAGGAGACCATCCACCAGGAGTTCGTGCGGCGCGTGCTCCAGGAACTCTCCGCCTACTACGGTTACGCGACTTCCGAGACCGAAAATCCGACGGTTGGAAAAATTTCGTCCACTTTTGATTTAAACGAAATGGGGGATTGGACGAACTTCGTCGATTTGTCGGACGGTTTTTTGGCCATCGCGTTCGACGGATTTTACTCAATTGAAGAAAAAAAAGTCGAGGCGACTTTGTTCGAAAAGTATGATTTTTAGTAATAAACAACAAAATTTGATTGTGAATTCCAGGATTCGCGACGTTACCACGAACTTGTTCCCGCTGCAGAACCTCCCGGAGAGGATTTTGTCCCAGATCCTGAAGGAACGCTTCACGATTTCGGGCCTCATGGTCAAGACGCTCCTCATCGAAAATTACAGCCTGGACAAACAGTTTGATTTTTTGAACCACATTTTCTTGTTTTCGGACGACTTGATTTTTCCGTTTTACCGGCGTCTGTTTGAAAAGGTTTTTTTGTATGATTGCGTATTTTTATTATATTATACGCATGTGTCACAGATGAACACCACGAATGCCAACTGGGGTAACAGCGTCTGGCTCACGTCGCACCTGCAGGACGTCATCATGGACTTGTACCCGACTTTTTCCGACGACTGTAGCGTCCAGGTTAAGGACTTCTGGAAGCAGTGTCGCGACTCGCTGGAGGCCTGCACGCTGTTGAACGTCCAGTACGACATCAAGTGGCCTCTGAGTATTATTATTACGACGGAGCACATCGCCATGTACAAGGAGGTTTTTCATTTTTTGTTGAAGCTCAAGTGGGCGCTGTACACCGTAAATCACTTATTTTTTACCGGTGAGTATTTTTTTTTCGGTTGAGTTGGCAAGTTGTTCGTCTCGAGGGGTTTACAGGGTTAATCCTCGTAAGTGGAGGGCGGCGAAAGTGTAATTCCCGGGAGTTGTGGGCTTGGAGTTGGAGTTTGACGACCGGGTGGAGGGGGTTGAATTAGTGATGGGTGATGGGTTTTTGGAGGGATTGACGTATGTCGTGCTTGTGTTACTGGGTTTGTTTTCCCGATTATTTAAATAATTGTTAATAATTTTTCAATATTTCGATGCTTCGATTTTTCAATGTGTCGATTTTTTTTCAATTTTAGTATTTCAACGCTTCAATTTTTTGATGTTTCGATTTCTCGTTTTTTTTTTTTTTCGATTTTCCCATTTTCCGATTTTTCAATTTTTCGTTTTCTCGATCATTTCTGTTTCAGTATCTCAAGGTCTCGATTTCTCAATTTCATTACTCTTCAATTTTTCGATTTTTCAATTGTTCAAATATCGCATTTTTTTTATTTTCGATTTTTCGGCTTTAAGTTTTTGATATTTCAGTTTTTGGAAACTTTAATTTTAGAATTTTTAATTTTTCAATTACATACTCGATTATTTTTCAGTTTTTAGATGTCTCAGTTTTTCTATATTTTAGTTTCAGGATTTTTTAGTTCTTGATTCTTGGTTTTTTCGATTTTTCAGTGTGTCGATTTTTTTTCAATTTTAGTATTTCAATGCTTCAATTTTTTGATGTTTCGAATTCTCTATCTGATTTTTTTAATTTTAGATTTTTTAGTTTCTCGATTTGTTTTTAATTTTTGTTTTCTCGATTTTTCGATTACTCAGGTTTTCGATACTTCAGATTTAGAATTTTTTGGAATCCCAATTCCTCGATTTTTTGATGTTGCGATTTCTCGTTTTTTTTTTCGATTTTCCCATTTTCCGATTTTTCAATTTTTCGTTTTCTGGATTAATCGATTTATCGACTTTTTTGATTTTCCCATTTCTCGATTTCCCGACATTTCTATGTTTCAGTGTCTCAAAATCTCGATTTCTCAATTTCATTACTCTTCAATTTTTCGATTTTTCAATTTTTCAAATATCCCATTTCTTTTATTTTCGGTTTTTGGCTTCAAGTTTTTGATATTTCAGTTTTTGGAAACTTTAATTTGAGAATTTTTTAATATTTCGATTTCTCGATTATTATTTTTCAGTTTTCAGATGTCTCAGTTTTTATATATTTTAGTTTCAGGATTTTTTAGCTATTCTATTCTTGGATTTTCCGATTTTTCAATGTTCCGATTGTTTTTTAATTTTTAATTTCCCGATTTTTCGATTACACATTTCTCGATTATCCAGTTATGGAATTTTTCAATATTTCTTTCAATTCTTCAATTTTTTGTTTCGATTTGTTCAGATTTTTATTAATTTTTCAATTTAAGATTTTTCAGTTTCTCGATTTGTTTTTTATTTTTAATTTCTCGATTTTTCAGTTTTTCAACGTTTTAAATTTTTTAAGTTTTAGATTTTTCTATTTCACGATTTTCTGTTTTTTCAGTTCTTCGATTTTTCAATCTTCAAAGTTTGGATTTTCCAATTTTTTCGGTTTTTTGACTTTTCAGTTTTAAATTTTACAGTTTTTCCATTTTTTGATTTTTAAAATTTTTGTTTTTTCGATTTTTCATTTCTTGGAATTTTTAAAGCTCGAACTTTCCAATTTTTTGATGTTTCGATTTCTTGATTTTTCGGTTTTTTGACTCTCAAGTTTTAAATTTTACAGATTTTACAATTTTACCATTTTTCGTTTTTTCAATTTTTCGATTTTATGGTTTTTCGACTTTCCGATTTTTTGATTACTCAATTTTTCAAGTTTTTGATTTCTAAGTTTTTCAACATTTCAGTTTTGGACGTTTTTCAATTCATGGATTTTCATATTTTCGAAATTTTGGTTTTTCGATTTTTTAAAGTTTAGATTTTCCAATTTTTCAATTTCTAAATTTTTCAACATTTCAATTTTAGGATTTTTCGATTTCTCGATTTTTCAGTTTTTCGATTTTTTAAATTTCCCGTTTTTTCATTTTTAGTTACTCGGTGTTTCAATTTTTTAGTTTTTAAAATTTTTATTGTTCGACTTTTGAATTTTAGGATTTTTTGGTTTTTCGATTTTTCAATTTTTAGAATTTTTGACTTTTTCGGTTTTTCAATTTTTCGATTTTTTAGTTTTTCGATTTTGAAATTTTTCGATGTCTCGACTTATGGATTTTTAAAAATATTTAAATTTTTCAATTCATAATTTTACGGTTTTTCGATTTAATGCTATTTCGATTTCTCGATATTGTGAGTTCAAAATTTTTTTTCAGTTTTGGGATTTTTCAGTTTTTCGATTCTTCAATTTTTCGTTTTTTTATTTTTTGATTTTTAAAAATTTTTGGATTTTGCGATTTCTCCTTTTTTTTCAGTTTTTCGATTTTTCAATTATGCGATTTTTTGATGTTTCGATTTCCCTATTTTTTAATTTTTCAATTTTTCGATTTTAAAAATTTTTCGATTTCTCGATTTTTCAATTTTTCGATATTTGAATTTATAATTTTTTTTTTGAATTTCAGGTTTTTCGATTTTTTCATGTTTCATTTACTCGAGCTTTCGATTTTCCGACTCTTTGATTTCTTGATTTTTCGGTTTTTCGGCTTTTAGAATTTTCAATTTCTCGATCTTTGATGTTTGGATTTTATTACTTCTCAATTTTAAGATTATCCAATTTATCGATGTTTCAATTTTTCAGTTCTCCCATTTCCCAATATTTTGATATTTCAGTTTTGGAATTTTTTCAGTTTCTCGATTTTTAAATTTTTTAATTTTTGGATTTGCATTTCCCTTTTTTTGATTATTAAATTTTTAAATATATCAATTTTTCGATTTTGCAATTTTTCAATTCTTCGAATTTTCAAAGTTTGAATTTTCCAATTTTTTCGGTTTTTTGACTTTTCAGTTGTAAATTTTACAGATTTTACAGTTTTTTCATTTTTCGATTTTTCAAATTTTCGATTTAATGATATTTCAATTTCTCGATTTTTAGGTTTTTCGACTTTTCAACTTTTTGATTAGTCGATTTTTCAAGTTTTCGATTTCTCAATTTTTCAACATTTCAGTTTTGGTAATTTTTCAATTTAAACATTTTTCAATTTTTCGAAATTTTTATTCTTCGATTGTTCAATTTATCGATTTTTCAATTTTTCGATTGTTCAACTTCTGGAGTTTGTAATTTCTCGATGTTTCGATTTTTCGATTTCACGATGTTCAATTTTTCAACATTTCAATTTTTGGGAATTTTTCAATTTATGTATTTTTCAATTTTTCGACGTTTTCCATTTTTTAAGTTTTCATTTTTCCGATTTCACGATTTTTCAATTTTTCAGCTCTTCGATTTTTCAATTTTTCAATTCTTCGAATTTTTAAAGCTCGAATTTTCCAATTTTTTGATGTTTCGATTTCTTAATCTTTCGGTTTTTCGACTCTTAAGTTTTAAATTTTACAGTTTTACCATTTTTTGGTTTTTCGATTTTTTAATTTTTCGATTTTTCATTTTTTGATTTTATGGGTTTTCGACTTCCCGATTTTTTGATTACTCGATTTTTCAAGTTTTCGATTTCCAGGGCTCTCACTTGGTTCATATGTTATGAAAAAGTTCATATTTTTAATGTAAGTCGTTATTATTTCATATTTGGTATGAATTTGTTCATAAAAGTTCATATTGATTAGTTCGTATAAAAATCAAATTTAATAACATTGTAGTTTAAAAGCATACTAAATAAAAAACACCAACACAGCAACAAATTTTTGATATTTGACAATAATTTTTAACATTTTCATTATACTATAGTAATTGAAGAACTGGAAAATGAGTTGAAGACGGTAAATAAAGAAAAAACAGTTTGTCAGTTAACTGTTGATCAGTGACTAGATAAAACAAATAAAGCCATTAAAAAAGTTTTAAAGTCTACAGAGTGCGGATCAGACGTGAAAATCGCTGGCGTGTTGCTGCATTCAGTTATTGAGCAACGAAAAGACGAAAAATAAAAAGTTAAGCAAACGGACAAATTACAATCCAATATTTTGACGCGCAAGAGTACTGTAATTAGTGGACTAGTTGATAAGAAAAAAAAAAAGTTTTCAGTTATAATATATTAAGTGCATCGCAATGTTATCGATAATTTTGAGCAACAATAACTCGAATGCTTGTTGCATTGAAAACGCACGAGTGCTTTAGCACGAGTGCATTTTTCTTAGGCAACAAGCATGAGAGATTATTGTTGTTCAAAATTATCGATTTCATTGTGATGCACGCAATATATTCAACAGATTATTGCAAGAACAAACATTTTAAAAATAATTTTATAATGATTTACGAAGTAGTTTGGTGTGCGATACTATGGCGACGCAAGTAAATAAGAACAGCCATTTTGCAAAATTTGTGTGGGTTTAAAAAACCATGTCCAATTTTCGTTTTGGTCGTAACACGCCAAAAGAAATTGATGATTCTATTACAAACATTACGCCGCTAAATACGAAGAACTCACGAAATTCAATCTGGAGGCAATTTGAGAAGTTTTGCGGTGAACGCAAATATGTTTTTGATGGAAACACTTCCACGGAAAAACTAGCATTCATCCTCAAAGATTGGGGGTACAATATGAAAAAAGTCGATGGTAATGACTACAAAGAAGCAGTAATAAAAACGATGTGGAATGTAACGGCAAAGCAGTTGCAAGAACTGTATTTCAATAAATTTGGTATAAAGTTTGATCCTTTTGTTGACCTGGAATTCAAGGGTAGTAGAAATGCACGCGACGCAAAACGCCGGAACCTACAAATACAACCGGAAAAACGCAAAACTAGTTCCTCAATTTTGACTCTAGAAGAATACAACAAGATTCTAAAGATTTATAACGAAGACACGCCAGATGGTTTACAGAAAATGTTTTTTTATGTGGCTGGATTAGAATTAGCTTGGAGGGGATGTGAAGGTGTTAACGTTACTATCAAACATTTTAAGGAAGAAAGTGATAATTGTGGTTTGCCTACGGGGCGAATAGAATACAATTGTATTTTTTCCAAAACAGCTCAAGGAGGTAGCCATAAATTAACAGACAGCAAATGGCTTGCAACAAACACCACAGATCCTAGAATTTGCCCTGTTAGGTAATTAAATACTGTTTCAAATACAAAATAATAATTATTTTATTATTTAAGGCTCTACAAAAAAATGCTGAGCAAGAGAGGTAAACATATAACCACCGATCGTTTATTTTTAACGCCAAATCCTGCATGGAGAGAACCTAGTTCTGTAGGATGGTTCAAAAATTCACCCGTTGGAAGGAATGAAATGGGGAAATGGACAAGAACCGCCGCAGAAGAAATAGGCATCGACATAAAGAAAAAGAAGATTAGTAATCATTCATTACGGTCAACTGCAGTGTCGCAACTTGCAAAAGCGGGAGTCGGTGAAGAACAGCTTATAAAGATTACCGGTCATGCCAATACTTTCTCCATCAAACCATACCTTCAGCTCGATGGAGATCATCATTATCAAATGATTGACAAATTACGCGCCAACTCAACGGCTATGGAAGAGTCTAATAACAAATCCACAAATTGCGCACCGTCTGCTTTGGTACAAATGTCTAAAAATATAGTTACTACTTCACCAAGCACACAAACCCCTGTAAATTACTACAACTGTACCATAATTAATTACAATTCTTAGTTTCATAATTAAATATTTGGTTAGTAACCTCTTGTTTTTTTTTGCAATTAACTGGTACTTGCTTATCTTATAGTTGGCACATCTGGCTAGTGATAATTATCGGTAGTGGTAATTGCACAGTGTGCAATTATCACGTAATTGTATGCTGATTGGTTGAATTTACAAATATTGACGCGTTTGATTGGTCAGTTGACATCATGTGACATGTGAGTGCAATAATCAGAATAAGATTTTATTTCTCATTTTATTTAATTTGTGTTATTACAAAGAGATAGGTATTGTTATTTTAAAAGTTATTATTACAAATAGTTTGTTCTCTTCTTATATATATTTTATTTTGTATTTATTATTTTTAAATTAAAATTTTTCCTTGTTGTTTGCTTATGAGATTTTAAATAAACTTTCCATTTTTTTGTCATGTGATTTTCTGCAAGAGTTATTTGTATCGGTCAGTGTGAACATTTTGGACAATAAATACCTGTATATTCCGTTTTTAGGACAGGATATGCAAAAATGGCACAGCCTGCAAATCTGACGGGTTCATATTGGTTCATATTCTTCAAATTTATGGGTTCATATTTTCATATTTTATTGCCAAGTTTAAGTGAGAGCCCTGGATTTCTAAATTTTTCAACATTTCATTTTTGGGCGTTTTTCAATTTTCGAATGTTCAATTTTTCGTTTTTTTATTTTTTCGATTTTTTAATTTTTGGATTTTCCGATTTATCATTTTTTTTATTTGTCAGTTTTTCGATTTTTCAATTATGCAATTTTTTGATGTTTCGATTTCCCTATTTTTTAATTTTTTAACATTTCAAGTTTACGGTATTTGAATTTAAAAATTTTTTGTAAATTTTATGTTTGTCGCTTTTTTTTGTTTCAATTACTCGAGCTTTCGATTTTCCGACTTTTTGATTTCTCGATTTTCCAGTTTTTCGGCTTTTAGAATTTTCGATTTCTCGATCTTTTGATGTTTGGATTTTTTTACTTCTCAATTTTAAGATTTTCCCAATTTGTCGATGTTTCAATTTTTCAGTTCTCCCATTTCCCAATATTTTGACATTTCAGTTTTGGCATTTTTTCAGTTTTTCGATTTTTAAATTTTTTAATTTTTGCATTTGCCATTTCCCTTTTTTGATTATTAAATTTTTAAATATATCAATTTTTCTATTTCTCGATTTTTCAAGGTTTCGATTTCTGTATTTTCCACATTTCAATTTTGGGAATTTTTCAATGATTGCATTTTTCAATTTTTCGTATTTTAATTTATCGATTTTTCGACTTTTCGGATTTCGATTTTTCGGTTGTTCAATTTTTCGATTTTTCAAGTTTTTTCAATTTGGGAATTTTTCAGTTTTTGCATTTTTCAATTTTTCGAGATTTTAAATTATCTGTTATTTTTTCTTAATTTTAGGTTTCTCGATCTTTTGATGTTTCGATTTCTCGATGCTTCGATTTTTTGATATTTCAGTTTTCCAGTATTTCGATTTTCCAATATTTTGACATTTCACTTTTGGGATATTTTTAAATGTTTCGATTTTTTGATTCTACGATTTTTTGACGTGTCGATTTCCCCATTTTTAAATTTTTTGATCTTTCAATTTTTCGATTTCCAGACATCTCGGATTTTCGGCGTTTAAAATTTTTCGATTTCTCAATTTTTCAAGTTTTCAATTTTTCGATATTTTAGTTTATTTTTATTGCAACAATTTTTTATAACTTTTATTAATAACCTTCGACTAATTTTTTAAATTATAATTTAAATTTTTGGTTGTTTTTCGTGTACGACCGGCGCGTTAACCATGGTAACGCCGGTAATAGTTTTATAGACCATGACGTCAGCGGCCGAATTAATCAGATTCCATTTTCTGATTTTCGGCGGGTCGTTGACCAATTTTTCCACCACGAAATTTTAATTCCGCTTTAGCGTCGAACCGCGTACGTTCGAAACCCCCATTCCGAGTGAAACTACGCAGAAACCGTAAAATTAAACACCGTAAATTATGCAAAATTAGCTCCACCAAGTTCCGACGCAATAAAAGAACTTTTATTCCCCTCAATTCCAAATTAAAGTTTTATTTAACTTTCACCGAATCAACTCCAGCCAACTCATAACTTCAACCCCATCCTCCCCCACATCTCATTACAATTTTTCATAATCCCCACATCGATAAAACAATCCTTTCCAGACCTCGAGCCGAAGAAAAAGAGCGCCAAGCCCCGGGCCCCGAAACCGACAACAACAAAAAGACTGAAATACCTCCGCTTCAACCTGATCAATATCCTAAACACCGTCCAGCACTACTTCTTCGGCTTCGTTTTCGCGAAATACCGGATCCAGTTCGAGCTCGATTTCGAGAAGTCCAACGATTTGAAATCCTTGATAGCGTCCCACGAGGACTTCATCAAGTCCATCCATGGGTCGATGGTGGAAATCCGGGATAAAAAGCGCAACCAGCACGGGTTTAACACGGTAAGTGGGGGGTGGTGTGTTGGTTGTTTGTCAGTTTTGGTCGTTTCAGCTGATGAAGTGCGTGAAGATTTTGAAGGTTATGTGGAACGAGCTGGAGTACGCCACGGGCGAAAATCTGGATAATTGTCATAAGGTGTACAAGGAGAGCTTCGAGGTTGTTAACGCTGTTGTCAATCCGGTGTTTGTTTTCGATTATTAAAGTTTATTTACGGAAGTTTGCTTTTACTGCACCTGAGTTGGGGGAAATTGGTTTACGAGTTGGTAGTTTTAATTGAACTTGTTACGCAAGCTGGGGAACAATGGGCGTATTGAGCAATGCTGGGTCGTTGCGAGGTTTGATTAAGCGTGATGAGTTCAGGCTAGGAAAGAAGACAACTTTACACACGAATGTTAAAAAAACACATTTATTATGTATTTTTGATCAAAATAAAACATTACTAAAAAAATTGTGTTTTATTTTTAAGCAGGAAACGAGAAAAGAGAGCAGCTTTTTTCATATTCTAGAGCGCAGAGACCAGTTCAATCAACTAAAAAAATATGGCTGAGAAATATCGTAAAAAAACCACTATTGTATGTTTTTTTTTTCAAGTTTTTCGAGTCATAACCATCATAGAATCGCTTGAAAATTCGCACATGGATAAAACATCACTTTTTACAGGGCGCAGAGTCATTCAATGTTTGTTAGTGGTATAATTTGTTTAAATAATAATGTGTTTATTAAAATCAAAATATACCACAAATTAATGCTAAATACGTAGAATAATTTTAACAGGAATATCAGAGGAAAATTAATGATCTATTGGTTAGCAGAGTTGTTAACAAAAATTAACAATTATTGAAAAAAATGGGTATCAATTCGATAGATTTTGGGCCGTTAGTTCAGTACTTTGCCGATAGGAGCGCCACTAAAATTTACGGAAGCGACTTTCCAGGTAAAACCCTTATCGCCTGCTCTACCATAAGCTGATTGTTAGAGTTCTCGGCTGATTTTTCTCATTTATGGCCAAGGAACTCAGTTTCATAACAAGCCGCCAGGACCGGCCTTAGTAATCTATTGTTAAGGAAATTAACTTTTACGCAATGAGGTACTATCATAAAACCGAATTAAAACTGGGGAACTATAATATTTTTACTCCACTCAGGATCCTGAATTCAATACACATGATTACTAAAAATTCATTGTAATATTATTGTTAACATATATTTTGTCTTGGTGATGAAAAATGTACTCCTAATAAATTATTAAAGTACATAAAAAATAGAAACAAATTTTATTTATTTTAAAAAAATCTCTCGCAAAGGCAGGTTCCTCTTTCTTGAAATCTTGCAAATGTTTTAAGGTTATAAAGAGCATAATAAATTTTTAGTCAAAATATATTTGCTTATCCCCTCCAAAAAATTGATGACGCCAGCTCAAAAGTTTGCCGTATAATCCTGTTTAAAATTCACAAAATATGATGAGTCTCTTCTTGTAATTTATCATTCCATTCATATTTTATGCATTCGGATATACAGGGTGACTCAAAAAATTTAATGAATGCGCAAATTTATTTTATTGATTTAATCAGGAACTACAAAACCGAATGCTTTGAAATCTAATGTAAAAAAAACATAATAGGCATGCAGTCGTCACGTTTCAGATAGCGAGGGAAGTACTGTCCAAACTCTTTAGACCAATTTTTTTGATTTTCCCATTTTTCCATTTCTCAATTTTTCAATGTTTCAGTTTGGGATTTTTTCATTATTTCGATTTTTATTGTGTTTTCTCGGTTTTTAAATTTTTCGATATTTTAATTTTTCAGTTTTTAAAGTTTTATGTTTTTAGATTTCTCACTATCTCGACTGTTCGATTTTTCAGTTCCATGATTTTTCAATTTGTCGAATTTTTAAATTTTAGATTTTTTGTTCTCGATCATTCAAGTTTCTGAGTTTTCAGCCTTAGATTTTTTTTGTTGTTCCAATCTTGGATTTTTAAAATTTTTGTTTTTTAAATTTTCCTATTTATCAACTCACTGGGATTTCAATGTTTTGATTTTTTGATTGTTCAATTTCTCGATTTTTTGAATCTTTAGTTTTTGATACGATTTTTTTTTCAAAAATTTTCAGTTTTTCAATTTATTAACTTTACGATATTTCAGTTTTACGATTTTAAAATTTTTTTATTTTTCAGTTTTCAATTTTTGACGTTTCTAAATTTTTCGATTTTTTAATTTTTCGATTAACTCATTTTTTGATTTTCCCATTTCTCTATTTCTTGATTTTTCTTTCTTCAATTTTCCGATTTCTAGATTTTTCAATGTTTCAGTTTCAGCTCTCTCTCTCTCGCTCTCTGTCCTCGCGTATCTATCTCTCCCTCTTCCCCCCTCGCCCCTCACCGCTCCTCTTTCTTTATATCGCTCTATTTTCCCCATTGTTCTATTTCCATAGCTCTATTCTCCCCATTGTTCTAATCTCCCCATCATTTTAATCTTCCCATCAGCCTATTCCTCTGTTTCCTTTATTCTTTATTTCCCTATATTCTCCTCGTCGCTCTCTTAACTGTTATTTACCTGTATTTTTATATTATATTGTATTATGTTTTTTTCTCAATCGATCTATTCCTCCTGTCACTCTATTTTTCCTGTCCCTCTGTTGTCTCTTTTGCTCAATTTCTTTATCGTGTAATTCTCCAAGTTGCTCTATACTCCATGCCGCTCTTCTTTCCCTGTAGTTCAATTCTCCTTATCCTTCTGTTCTCCCTTTTAATCTATTTTTCCCAATCTCTAATCACTGTTCTTCTTATTGTTTTGTTTCCCCTACAGATCTATGGCCTGTATCCCTCTATTCTAATAAATTTTGCTCTATTATCCATGCTGCTCTATTTTCCCTATTGCTCCAGTCTACGTAACACTTTATTCTCCCAAATATTCTGCTCTTCCTATCGCTCTATTCTACATAACATTCTATTCTTCCCATCGTTCAATTCTCCCCATGGCTTTATTCTCCCCCTATCATTCTATTCTTCATTTCGTTCTTTTCACTTTATCCTTCTATTTACCTTACTGCTCTGTGCTCCCCATTGTTCTATATTCTCTTCGTCGCTCTACTCTGTATATCGCTTTCATCTCCTTGTTGCTCTGTTTTCCGTTTCGATCTATTCTTCTCGTTGGTCTGTTTTGTGTTGCTCTATTTTCTCTATGGATTTATTCTCGTTATCGCTCTATTCCCCCTATCGCTCTATTTTCCGTATCCTTCAGTTTCCGTATCGCTTTTTCCTCCCTATCGCTCAATTTTCCCCATCTTTCTATTCTCCCTGAAGCGCTATTCTCCTAATTGCTCTGTTTTTCCTACAGATCTATAGTCTGTATCGCTCTATTCTAATAAATAAATATTGCTCTATTATCCATGTTGCTCTATTCTTCCTATCACTTTATTCTCCCTGCCGCTCTATTTTTCCTGTCCCTCTGTTGTCCCTTTTGCTCAATTTCTTTATCGTGTAATTCTCCAACTTGCTCTATACTCCATGTCGCTCTTCTTTCCCTGTAGTTCAATTCTTCTTATCCTTCTGTTCTCCCTATTAATCTATTTTTCCCAATGTCTAATCTTTGTTGTTCTATTCGGAATTTCGCTCTATTCCCCCTGTCGCTATTCTTACCATGTAGCTCTATTGTCTCTATCGCTCTATCCTTCCTATCTGTCTGTTCCCCATTGCTCAATCCTCCCACTATTATACTTATTGTTCTGTTTCCCCTACAAATCTATGGCCTGTATCCCTCTATTTTAATAAATATTGCTCTATTATCCATGCTGCTCTATTTTCCCTATTGCTCCAGTCTACGTAACACTTTATTCTCCCAAATATTCTACTTTTCCTATCGCTCTATTCTGCATAACATTCTATTCATTCTATTCTTTCCATAGTTCAATCCTCCCCATCGCTTTATTCTCCCCCTATCACTCTATTCTTCATTTCGTTCTTTTCACTTTATCCTTCTATTTACCTTACTGCTCTATGCTCCCCATTGTTCTATATTCTCTTCGTCGCTTTACTCTGTATATCGCTTTCATTTCCCTGTTGCTCTGTTTTCCGTTTCGGTCTATTCTCCTCGTAGGTCTTTTTCGTGTTGCTCTATTTTCTCTATGGATCCATTCTCGTTATCGCTCTATTCCCCCTATCGCTCTATTTTCCGTATCCTCCAGTTTCCCTATCGCTTTTTCCTCTCTATCGCTCAATTTTCCCCGTCTTTCTATTCTCCCTGTAGCGCTATTCTCCTAATTGCTCTGTTTTTCCTACAGATCTATAGTCTGTATCGCTCTATTCTAATAAATAAATATTACTCTATTCTCCATGTTGCTCTATTCTTCCTATCACTTTATTCTCCCTGCCGCTCTATTTTTCCTGTCCCTCTGTTGTCCCTTTTGCTCAATTTCTTTATCGTGTAATTCTCCAAGTTGCTCTATACTCCATGTCGCTCTTCGTTCCCTGTAGTTCAATTCTCCTTATCCTTCTGTTCTCCCTATTAATCTATTTTTCCCAATCTCTAATCTTTGTTGTTCTATTCGGAATTTCGCTCTATTCCCCTATGTTTTGTTCTCTATGTTGCTCTATTCCCCCTGTCGCTGTTCTTCCCATGTAGCTCTATTGTCTCTATCGCTCTATCCTTCCTATCTGTCTGTTTCCCCATTGCTCAATCCTCCCAATATTCTTCTTATTGTTCCGTTTTCCCTATAGATCTATGGCCTGTATCGCCCTATTCTAATAAATATTCCTATATTATCCATGCTGTTCTATTTTCCCTATTGCTCCAGTCTACGTAACACTTTATTCTCCCAAATATTCTGCTATTCCTATCGCTCTATTCTACATAACATTCTATTCTTCCCATCGTTCAATTCTCCCCATCGCTTTAATTTCCCCCTATCACTCTATTCTTCATTTCGTTCTTCTCACTTTATCCTTCTATTTACCTTACTACTCTATGCTCCCCATTGTTCTATATTCTTTTCGTCGCTCTACTCTGTATATCGCTTTCATTTCCTTGTTGCTCTGTTTTCTGTTTCGGTCTATTCTCCTCGTTGGTCTGTTTTGTGTTGCTCTATTTTCTCTATGGATCTATTCTCGTTATCGCTCTATTCCCTCTATCACTCTATTTTTCCTATCCTCCAGTTTCCCTATCGCTTAATTTTCCCCGTCTTTCTATTCTCCCTGTAGCGCTATTCTCCTTATTGCTCTGT